CTTTCCCTAATAACGGAATCCAAGAATATTCGCATAAACGTTCGTTACCCTCTTAATTCAGCATGCGAGGCGTGAAACAACGAAACGGAATACGTAATCCTGGCAGGATCAATGGCCGCGATTTTCTCACTAAAAACTATCGTTAATATTCGATCAGCGGACGAATGGGTAGGAGGCGTAAAATGAGAGACGCGAAGTATTGAAAAAAAAGCGCCGAAGCCACCTAACGATACCGTGCGCACCAACATTTTGTGACTGGCCCAGCCTCACATCTAAATGATCATTAAGATTTATTTTATCCTCTCCTTCCCTCTCGTATGTGTATGAAAAATTAAAAAAAAAAGACTGCCAGTGTATCAAAAGCCCATTACAAATACACACACATGCACACGCAACAATGTAACAATAATACTTAGACGGCCTCTACAATAATGCATTATGCGCAGCACGTTGAATTAGAAATGCGCATCGATACTTTGTACGTATGTTGCAAGCGTAAAGCAATATACCTATACCGTAATGCATGTGCAATAGTTAGATGTTTGTTTGCACAGGGAATAAATTAAATATAAAAGTTATGAATGTAATTTCTTCACTTCACTCTATAGCCTTGTAATGAATCGACGACTTTAGACATTTTCAATATAATTTTAAGAGGTTCTTTCCACTTATATCAATACAAAAGTATGAAACGAATCAGCAGAACGTATTTTTTGCCAACTTGATGCTTAATTACAAATATACACATATAAATAAAACTGATTGAGTAAATAAACATCTTCCTGTATGCACACGACAATATACGGAGTTTATGTATTTTTCATTAAATCTTTTTGTTTTTTATTTTTGAAATGGAACATTTTAAATTGAATAAAATGCTGACCGCAGAACGCATCTATAATCTCAAATCATAATTTTCTATTTATTGCAATGTATATATAGGCTATATGCACATGATAATATTGTTTAGTAAATATTTAAGAAAATACATCTATCTGTAAAAGATTTATCTGTAAAAACATTATGTTATTGCATTTCTATAATACCTTATATAAGCCAATATCAATGGTACAAATGAATGCTTTAACAAATGTCATTTATATAAAACTAGTAATCCTTATTAAATGAAAAAATTTTATTTTATTTTTCACTCAATGCATTTGTGTTTTCATGATATTTTTAAAACGAAATATCAATAAAACTTGATGTTCTATATAGAATTGTATTTTCGCAATCAATCGGATAAAGAGAAAGGCGAATGAGCGAGAGGGAGCGAGAGGGAGCGAGAGAGGGAGCGAGAGAAGGAGAGAGAGAGAGAGAGAGAGAGAGAAAGAATGACAATGAGAGTAAAAGAGAGAGAATTCATATGTACTTGCACATGTCGTCTGCTACTAGACTACATAAAATCAACTATGGATAATATATTACTCGTTTAGTTTATAGTAAAAAATACAATTAAATATGATATTGTTAATATAATTTACAATGTAAAGTTATAAATCGTAAGCTCTTATAAAGTAGGAATAGACTTATAATTTAAAAGGAGAATGTAGCTTTATAAAAATGTTGTGAGATAATCATATTGAGGTTAGATTCATATTTTATACGATTATAATTCCCTTTAAAAATTACATCCAAACTTGAATTTATAATTAAATATAAATCATTCTAATAAAATAGCAATTATCTACATTCGTTTATTTTTAATTAAATATAGATGAAATACGGATGTATAGATATTGATCACAAGTTAAAAAACCTCATGTATACACATCACTTTCAAATCATAATATCAACATTCATACAGTCATCTTTATTAAGGTAACAATAGTAAATAAAGTGATAAATGTAGTAATATAAATAATATTATTTTAGCACTAAATTCTTTATCACGATTAATAGTTAAGAGTAATAGTAGATTTTGTAAAGGATATTTCATTTTATATACTATCCAGCTGTAAAAGAATGCTACTTCTTTTTATTTAATGTAAACAAAGCGCAACCAAGAATTCTGGAGAGATTTAATGCTATATTGATAACAATAGCATTATAATTATGAGGTGATGACTTAATTCTTACATATGTCATGCAAAGAACTAGAATTATAAGTATAAATTACGGGATTAGAAATAAATAATAATTTATAATTACTTTCATTTATATATAATATTTGATATATTTTATATTTTATTTTTTATACATAAATTATGTTACGCATCTATAAAGAGTATAGCTTTTATATTATTATTTTATAAACCAAATCGTGTTTATTATTAAATTGTTAAATATTTTTACTTAGAAATAGTAGAGAAACTGTCCCAATTTGAAAGTTAAAATTGTTTATGAATTATGTTAAAAAGATATAGTATATATCTTAATTAAGAAAAAATAAAATTTATTAAAGTGTAAAACTAATTTCAACTTTAGTATGTATTGGAGTGTATAGAACTATTAACTAATATCAGAAGTTTATAATCTTTGAAAATGAAATACTTATGTAATATTGTATATTTACAGATTACTTCAAAAATGGATGTCTCCATATCCCTGTTATTTATGTTGCTGTTAATTTTGAGTAATAAAATTAGATTAACTTATATCTATTAATTAGCACAAACTTTATTGATGAAATAATGAATAAAAGCTTTACTTACTATTTCAGCAGTAATTGATGCAAAAGCAGAATATCGTGTATCGGAAACAGATATAAAAGTTCTTATCAATAGTCGAAATCATTTCATTTTATATACTACGTAAGTATTTAATACGTCCATACTTGAGAATTATTTTATGTATGCAATAGTATATAATATAAGGTTTTACCAATATTTATAAATAGATTATGAAAGATAGGATGCTTTCATATTTAATGTTCATTTCTTGATAAAGATATTAGTTATATTAGATTTTGATATTTGCTAACAGAGTTCTATACTATAGAAATATACAAGTTATGCATTTAAGAAATGGTTAAAATTTTCCATTTAAATTTTAACTTTAATTTGTAGCTTCATTCAATATAGTTTTCATTGGAATTTTATATCTTTTATTTAACATTTTCAAATATATTCTAGGACTATTGCAGCATAAGTCATAAAATTCAATAATATTTCAATTTAATGATAATTTTTAATAAATAATATATTTATTTGTACTATTTGTATATTAGGGAGAAAAATAGGACAGATGATAATGAAATATTTTTTGAGTCTCAACACGTTGACTTAGTCAGAACAGAGCCAGCTCATTTTATTGCTAAGAAAGATGAATTTAATTGGACCATTGATGTACTTGGACTTAAACCTGGTTACGCTGTGATTACAACGAATATAACTAATATTAATCCATTGGAGTAAGTAATGTCTATTTCACAGACTAATCATTAACATAAAAATTCTTGAAAATTAACATCTTAACTTAGCCACATATACATGTACAACGATCGTTAATTACACTAAATTATTATTTCTATCAAAAACCATACGTTCTATATAATTCCAAACAGCAATTTATATATTTATATAAAATTTTTAATTTTTAAGTCAAATTCATTATTTTCAAACTTTAAAATATACATTTTGTAAGAAGATTTGATATTAGTTTGTTTGAATAATTCTTATTTTGTTTATATTATGAAATAATGTATGAAATCAACTTTTATATCACATTGAACGTAATGTGTAATCAAAATTTGCAAACATGTAAATAATAAATAATAATAATTTTATAAGATTTGGAAAATTATATCAAAATATTCGTAGAAACATATTCCACACGATGCATACAATTATATAAATTAACTCTACAAATTAACTATGTTATATAAATACATATATTACAACAATATAAATACAACGTATTTAAATAAACAACTACAGAATGTTCTAATTGTTCAATAAATTATAACTATAATATGCTTTGAAAATTAATGCTTCATCGTTATTGTCTCATCATGTGTGGAAATTATGAAAACATCTTACAATTTTTCAAAGCCAAATAAATGCTTAGCCATTGAATTAAAATTGCAATACAATGTCATATTATTATGACCTTACATTGGCATTCGTTACAAACGTATTGTAAAGTTTAAAAACGAATTGCATATGTGTACGTTACAATGTAGAAACAAATCTATGCAACTGTAAGTAATTTGATCCTATACACTTGATTATTTGTTGCCTATAAATTATGATTATTCACGATACATGCATATGAATATAGTATATGATTATATGATTATGATTATACATATTATTACTGCAATATACCAAAAGATAGGTCTATTATATAAGTATTAAAACAAAATAATAAAATGCCCTTCTGCACTTCATGCATAGAACGTAATGTTACCTGACTATAATTGATTCCCCGAGGGAAAAAAACGGTCCTGAAGTACTGAATACGCAGAATGGCTTGTATTTAAAAAATAAGTTTGGTATTGAGTATAAGGTTTAAGTGTAATATTTAATCAATCGGTCCGATAACCCTGTTTGAACCATACAGACTTCATCATTACCGTTATCTTTCAAAAAAAAATTCTTAACGAGATACGTTCGTTGTCAAAACTTCCGTCACATACACATGTATTACAGTAAAAATTATTTGGTCACATCATATTACAGTATATTATTCAATTATTTTTACATTACATTTAAATGTACTTACCTATATCCTATAAATTATTATATTATGTGATGTTTCAACTGCATATATCAAAATCATATAGTTGAAGTGTATTAGACACGGGATATATTTTCGATTGTACAATGTCTCGTTATTTATCGAAAAATTTCCTATTCCGTTTCCACTGAATTTCTTAATCATCTTTGACTCGTATAAATGAACACTGCAGCATTTCTTTGTTTTGAACAGAACTTTGCTCTGTTGGGAAAAGCTTTCGCCCGTCGCTCTTATCCATTCTAGTTGATGAATTATTTGTCATTAGAATTCAGTATTACATATTTAACTTTAAGACTCGATAACATTATGACCTAATATTCTTAGACGATTCCCTCTTAAAGTTTCGAGTTCAGTTTAAATTAAGATTTTGCCTGAGTTAGTTTTGTTTCGATTTTTATTACCGTATTCACGAGTATGTGGTCTTACGCATGTTTATGTTTACGTATAATGCATTCTCTATTATTCTCTATGCGAAAAATTCGAGCTATTTTTTATTTCTTTGATTTTAAATTATATATACAATTCGGAATTTAACATTTTTCTTTATATTTATTCAAATTAGCACAAGTGAATATAGCATAAGTTAAGTTAACGTTATGAGTCTCTACAAAATTATTATAATTACTCGTGATCAATTAGATACATTAAAAAATTTAAAGTAAGTTATGTAGATGTATTTCTTTATTCATTTTTTATCCCATCGAGTGTTCTCAAGAAGCAGAATAGAAATGTTTTCAAAATTGCTTATAAAAAATATTGAAATTACGTATTTACATTTTACCGTGATGCATAATCTTAATATGCATTTATTGTATGATAATTACTTTGGCAATTATTACATTACTATATCACATAGATGAAATTAATATTTCGAACAATGTTATTGTCGTGGAGACTATGATGTGCCAACATAATGTGTATAATATAAGCAAACATATATTTCAATATAAAATATATCCAACGTTGAAAATTGTTTTTTCAGTTATTCGGAAGCATTTGTACGTGTAACAGTTGAAAGGTCTAATACAATTTATCATATAAGTTCAATTGTTGGATGGATCTATTTTGCAGCATGGAGCATAAGTTTTTATCCCCAAATCTACAGCAATTACAAGAGAAAAAGTGTAGTGGGCCTCAATTTCGACTATATATCTCTCAATTTAGTTGGATTTATAATGTATGCCGTTTTCAATTGTGGATTATATTGGATACCAGAAATAGAGGTTTATATTTTATCTTGATATTTTTTCATTTATTTATAAAATTAATATTTAATTTCATCATTGATTCTATGTTCTAGCAAGAATACTTTAATCGATACCCGAAAGGCTTAAATCCAGTTCAAGTAAATGACATTTTCTTTTCATTGCATGCTGTGTGTGCAACGGTATTTGGAATATTCCAATGTTTTATGTATGAGGTAAGATAAGCATTATTATATGAATGTTTATAATTGTTATTACGTATGTCAATTTTTTAATTTTTATTTTTCATAAATTAATTGTCATGTAATAAATTACTACACGAAATTTAACTTTTTGCAATTTATCGAAATGTGCCGATTGAAATTGGACTTATAAAATAATGATTTGAAATTTCATTTGGCTGTTTCGTCTCCTTTAAAATCAAAAAATCATTGAAAATAAATAAATTTCACAAAAATACTTTAGCACGCGCAAATTTTTTTTCCACAGATTGGATCACAAAGAGTATCAACAACAGCTAGAATTATTCACGGAGTATTTTCTAGTTTCGTGTTGTTGTCTATAATACTCGCGATATTACATATTATTCAATGGTTGGACTTCCTCTATTATTGTAGCTATGTAAAACTTGCAATTACACTCATTAAATACGTACCACAAGCTTTTTATAACTACAAGAGACAATCGACTGTTGGATGGAGTATAGGAAATATATTTTTAGATTTCACTGGTGGTATTTTATCAATGCTTCAAATGATTTTAAACGCCTATAATTATGGTAATTTGTTTATAGTTTTCATTTCCCAAAAATGTATTCTTATCGTATTGATTTATTCCAATTAAAGATTTTAATTTGAAATTCTAAAGAAGTATTAATATGCTATTATTATCTTTTGATTTAAAATGAAAGATTACCTTCAATATGGAATATTTTTTTAACTCTATTTTACTTTAATATAATTGTATAAAAAAAAAAATTGAGTTACATAATATTTTTACAATATTCTTTCTTTTTTTTTTTTAGATGATTGGGAAAGTATTTTTGGAGATCCAACTAAATTTGGTCTAGGTTTTTTCTCCGTTGCGTTTGATATATTTTTCCTTATCCAACATTATGTTTTGTACAGGTATGTAAGAAACTCAATATAATAATGCTTTTGCTTGAAAAATATGCTTCTGGGTACACAAATATATTCAATTAACAAAATCTTCTCAATACTTTAAAACTTATTAAACAAATTAAATGACAAGGCTTTATGTAGAAATGCATGCTCTAATAGTAGCATGAAAAGGAAACATAATGAGAATCGGATTATGGGAGTAGCATTTAAATAAATTTCTAAATAATTATTATCGTTTAAAACATACAATAGAAAATGAACAAATAATTAAGAAAGTTTATTATTCCTAATAATTTTCTTAAATTAATAATCTTAATTTACTTAATAATAATCTTTTAAAAATACACGTGTAAGTCCCACTAGTAAACGATAGAAAATATTTCCAATACAAAATATTTATATGGGTGTGCGTGTAAATGTTAAAGAATTTAAAATTTTTAATTGAAAATTTAAAATAAAATTGAATATACTATTCAAAATATAGATTAAATTAATGATTCGTGATAAAATATTAAATCAGAATTGAACATTTTTTAAAGAAAACATTTTTAAAGAATTAAACATCGGTATGTTTTTATGAATATGAATATTTTAAATAAATTTTATTAATCGGTTATTCAATAAAATCCAAAAAATTATTCGTTTATTCGTGTAAGAAAGCAGATTTTCTAACATTATTATCTAAATCCTGACATAAAATTGTGAAATAATTATCTAATTATTGATATTCATAAATTATAACTGAAAGATTATTACAAAAAATTAGGTTGAATAAGAATTTTTTGTTAAAAATAATTTTGAATTGACTGAGGTAAGGTATATATAATTAATTACCTCTTAATGGACATAAATCCTGTTTTAAATTGAAATCAAATTTAAAAAATATAAACTAGCTTTGTAAAGAGCTTATTAATATATACAGTTCGTAATAAATTGCTTAGAAAAACATAGTATGATCAACAAGGTATCCAGAAAAAAATGAAAAAATCCAATAATTACTTCAAAAATCAATTCAATGTAAGTATGAATGAAAGTTATTCATATAATATGAAAAGTATGTAAACATGTATAATAAAACTACTTTATAAGTTTTTCTTTCATGTATTTCAGTATTATAAAAATATTCAATTATCGTAAAATACAATAAAATATATTTTAATTTAAATGTGACAGCATTTATATTTATTTAGAAATCATTTATTGACAAAACTCTTTAAATGTACGTATAAATAAATGTAGATAACTAATTTATTTAAAAATTAATAGAAAGTAATATTCTATTTTAAATCATTAGAAATGATAAAGTTAAAATATCCTATTTAACTGTGATGAATCATGTTATCTTAGTTAATAGTTACATTAATTCTTAAAAATATTTATAAAAATTTTAATAAAATCAGTGATTATCCTTTTTGAAATATCGTTTAAAATTTTTTTTAATTTCTTAAAGAACAAAAATTGATCCTGTAAAGTTAATTTGTTTACTACCGTATTTCTGACCAATACAATTTAAATGAAAATATTACAAGTATTAGTCGTAAGTAACATTAATTATGATGATATTGTGATTAGAAATCATATTTAATATATATATATATATATATATATATATATATATATATATATATAATATTTAATTCAATTATTAATAGGACAATATTCTTAAAATAAAAATTGAAATTAATTTTTTATAATTAAGAAAAAATAAGCTACTCACCAGCTTCTTAATTCTTCTTCCATTCTAATTAAAGTATTATTATGCATGTTTACTAATAATTTTTGAAATGCATACAAAGCATGAAAATCTTTTTATTATTCTGTATATTATAGAATTTTTATCAGTTATAAATCGGATTTTTTTGTATATACATAGTATAGTTAGATAATACTTATAAAATCTAATTATGTTATAATAATATAGCTTCATGGCATAATAATTCCATTAAGCAATATTTTTTTTTATAACTTTGGAAGCCGAAACATTATATTCATGCATATGATATAAATCATAAAAGAAACTCATTATATAAAGCTTCATTTAACAAATAGTTTTTCATATACGTTGCTTGTAAAAAATCATGCCCGATGAACTGTGAGGTAGAGCTAGAGTTTTCAATTTACAGAAATTCACATGAAAAGATGATCGACCTGAATTGCAGAATCTAGCCAGCACATGGATCAATTATTAAATCGTATCATCTTAACCAATAAATTATAAGATTACCTTAGTAAGCTTTGTACTTAAAACATATTTTGTATTCTCTGTTTAAAATAATAAGGTAAATCAATGAAATGAGTGTGCTAAACTGTAAATGTACTAATAATAATGTGCTATGATATTCCTTGTCATAGCATACTTTTCATAGAACTAAGTTAGATAATCTCGATCGTATAATATATTTGATCGGATGAAAATGATAATCTTTATATTAAAAAAAAAAAATTTATACTTATATAAAAAATGATTATAGTCTTGCATAGCTGTCAATAATTTTTAATTATATTTAGAATAATATATTTTTCGATATTTTATTGACTAGACAACCTTTTAAGAGTAAATTTTACAAGTATATTATAAAATGTGATTTAAGTCCTAAAATAATTATTAATTTAGTAATGCTATTGTTAACAATAGCTTTTGTAAATATGGTTTTTAGTAAATTCGAGATTAATAGCTTGTATTATCAAACATATTTCGAATATATTTATTATAGTATAATAAGATATTAATGTGTTCATTTACTATGTTCATCAAAATGAATTATTTTATAAATTATTTATTCAACTTTAAAATTATCAAATTGTTTAATAATTTTTGTTTTTAAATTTAATCGTATCTTTATTGGATTAAAATACTCTATCATTATTAATTATCAATAATATGAATAGACGAAGTAAAATAAAGTGATCTTCGTAGATCTTTTCTATACCCCTCCCGCTAAAAATCCTTTTCATATAATAAAAAAAGAAAGAAAAATATTAATTTTAGAACTTTTCTTTATCTGTGCGATTTCTTTACAAGTATTTAATATTAATATCATCGTGGGATTACGTACTTCTAATTTCAACTGTACCAAAGCTAGTTTTTCATAGTAATCTACAAAATGCTGCATGTCGCATGTATTGATGATTTATTTTTAAAGGGTGAACGAATATTTATTATTGCGGCTATTTATAAAATAAATTTAAAACGAATTTCCATTAACTTTTAACGTGTTGGAAACTTCTCTAACGTGCATGGAAGAGAAGGGCCCCATTTGTTAAAAGAAAAATAAATGGAAATATAAATTATATTGTAGTTATGATAATAGTTATATTGAGCAAAAATGCATTATAAGATTTTTGCTTGGTAATGACATTTACTAAATTTCTTATAATTTATTAAGATATCTTAAAAGGTAAAAATAACGTTAATTTTTCGTTTGAAAACAGTCGCAGTATAAGTTTAATGAGCAATTGAATTCATGAAAATAATTTCAATAAATAATGTTAATAAAAATTTAATTAAAATAATGCCATACATCTAGGAGATATTTTTTTTCTACATTAAGGTAAAAATAATCTTTTTGAGACAGCTAGCCAACTGCTAAAATGCCAAAATATTAAATATAATCAAAATATGCTTATTAATAAAAAGGAGATATAATATTACTCATTTATTGTTAAATGGATATTTAAAATATATAAATTCAGGCGATTTTATAATAGTTACATTTGAATTACTCGAATATGGCAATGCGTACATTATTGTTACTGTTACCTTAAGTAGTTTTAATAACACAAACAGAACAAAACACAACGTACATTCAATGTTCACAGGAATCGAAACGAGTATGATGTAATTCCAGGCATTTGTAATGAAAATCGCCAAGAAGATGACCAAAATTGTAATGTATAAAGTAAATTTTAATTTAAAAATGGAGCAAAAAAGATTGTCTTCATTCTTGATATAGAGTATACGTAATATATTGGCATTATGAGATTATGGAATATATATTTTTTTATAAGATATATTTCTATAATACGATTTTACTAAAGATAAGAAGAAAAACCAATGAATTTCCAAATTATATGATCACGCATTAGTATACTTCATCATTCATAAATAACAAACCAAACATATTTTGGTTCTCTGGTATTAAAAAAGCTTCATAATAAAAAAAAATATGATATAATTATATCATCGCATTCGAATTAAGGTAAGATATATTTATTTTTATATTATTTTCATGTACTGTAAAGCTCGAATTCGTTCATCAATTGAAGGGAAACTTCAAAAATTAAAATAATTTTTTAATTAAATTACCCTTTAAATTGAAAACTGATTACTAATTATCACACAAACAGTACTATTCACTTTTTAATACGCTCATACTAAAAACTTCATTTTGAAAAAAAACACACGCATAGATGTATATATAGATGCGTCTTTTTTTAGCCTAATGGTATAATAATAAAACAAATATTTTGAATAATATTTGTTTATTATATGGTAATAGTTTTTATTAAACATTATGAAATTACGATACAGGATAAATTAAAAAAAAATTCCTTCATATGTACAAAACTTTTCTTAAGATTTATATTTTTACATTTATTGGAAATATTAAGAAATTAAAGTTATAATTTTTTTCTGGAAATTCGTGGAATGTTATGTTTAAAAACAAAAAGCTTTAAAGGTATTAAGTGAAAAATTAATTAAAAAAAGTTGACACGAATAAAAACTTCCATATTTTATCATGGGGGATTGTCTCTGGATTGGTGTATCAATTAAATTATATCGATTCCGAAAATGAAGGCAAAAAAGAAAAAGTGTCTATATACTTGGGGCCGAGCCGAAAAGAGAGGGCGATAATCATCCTAATTACTGTTCTTTATAGAGTTGAAGTCGGCTAGAGTCAGTCCAAACAAGAGGATACAATAGTTTAAATATGCCTACCTGCATTTTTGTTAATAATAGTAAATAATGTTTGTTCAATTGTTCCCATCGTAAGGTACAAATAAATGTGTATGATAATTATTATTTTAATTAAATATTTTACAATAATTTTAAAATGTATTGTATAAAAACCACGACAGCACAGGTCCCTCGCTTTTCTTCGCATAATCACATTATTAATTTAATTTATTCAATTATATACAAATAATTTCGAAAGATAATTTAAAAATTTTATTTAAAAACATAAAAACATATTTAAAATGCATAAGATCTCGTTGTTATTAGCCCCCAATGAATACGTGCCCACCATCACATCTTGTCATTTCAAAAATATTTTTTACCTATCTTCGTATATATATTTTCTTCGAACTATCTACTCGTAAGTTTGAATATAATCTAATTGCTCGTATGCCTATGACAGAAGTTAGTATAAAACTATGAATCTGAATGTGTCGTGCAAGATGTGAAAAACCCTACATTTTATTGTTACTAAGCCAATAATCCCTTCAACAAAGTAATTAATTTACTTATTTTTATAATTATTCGTTTTGATTTATTTCGTGCAATGTTTCGATGTAAGAAAATTTTAACCTAATATGTATGAATTCTTATTTATAGTTAAGTACGTAACTTTACTAAGCATACATAACCTAATTCAATATGCACATAAATGTTTTAATTTCTAAATAATAATCATTTCTTATACGTCAAGTGCAATTACTTCTTGCGTTTAAATCTCATTACGTTAGTATATTAATATTAACTCTGTAAATTAAATTTCATAACGCTACCTCTAATTAAGCCAATAATAAAATGTCTTCATTCTATTATATTTATTTTATGTCATTTTCAATCGATCATTTATTAAACACAGTTCTGCGCTAAGTTAACAATGAAGTCTTCAAAAATCAACTGCAACATTAATTTATTTAATAGTGAAGTTGGTTTATTTATTTTTGTTAATTTATTAAAATAAATATCAATAATAAATGATGTCGAATACATTACACTTTTTATGTATAATAGTTTGAAATTGCTATATTCTATTAATTCCGAGCGAATAATTCATTTGTTGAAATTGTTTATTTAATATCAAATAATTCAATAAAATAGTCTAAATGTTATTGGTGAACTGGTAGCAAAGATATTTATTAAAATGGATTAATATTATTGCAGAATGGCATCCAAAGTATCGTTTCTTTTGAAGTCAACGTCAGTTATCGCATTGTCTACAAGAAATATCAATTGCTTGGTCGCTGCAATTACTAAGCCACACAGAAAGGTTTACTTGAAGCAGTTTATGACAGTTCTTCAACATCCAGATGGTAGTACAATAAAAATAAGATACCATGAGCCAATAGGTATTATTAGGCTTCCATTAGATTTGAGCAAATTATCAGAGAAAGAACGAAAAGCTATATTGTTAGAACGTCAGCCAACGCCTAAAAAGATAGTAGATGATTGTGAAATAGAAAATACCTTTGATGAGAATCGTTACTTAAAATTTTGAATTATTCATTAGCAAGTTGTAATTTTTTTTTAAACGAAATGCTAATATTGCAATTTTATAATAATAAATAATAATAAGTCATATTATATTTAATATAAATACTTTGTCTTTTTTCAACTATATCCTAAACTTTTATTACAGCTAGCTTTTAGTTATTTGTATCGATGAAATGTACCATTAGATTACAAATTGCTCAAATAATTTGACAATTATAGAATTCTTATTCATAATTAATGTTAGCACTTAATTAATATTAATTAACAAATCAGTCTTGATTTTTGTAAAATTAGTTTTGCCTATTAAGTAAAAATTAATAATTGTATACCAATAATTTTAATTATTAACAATTAATTAACAAAATAACAAATCATCAATAATCGATTCATTATATGAAAGTTTACATTTTATTTATTCCATAAAATATACAGCTGATATTATTTTATTAAATTTTGTGTTTCCATTATATATTTATCTTGTAGCTACTAGTAAATAAATATACTTGTTTATTCAATCTAAAATTAACGAAATGTAATTGAGTCATTTTAATCGTAACTCCTGAGCTTAACTTATAATATAATCGTACGAAACCATTGAAAATACGAGATTTCAAAACGAGATTTATCCGTAGAATGACCTTGACTTTCCTGTTTACGTCCTCGAAATAATAATTGCGATCATGTGTCCTGTGACGAAAAATGATGCGATATCTCATACGGACCACTTTCGAATGATACAATTTGAGCGGATACTATACATGTCCTTGTAAGATGTCCTCTTTCTCTTTGCTGGGCTCTATATATATATATATATATAGGAGACGGTGATGTGAGGAGGAAACAGGATGTGTCTTAAGGCATACATCTCCCTCACTCTCTTAGATGGCCTGTGAAAGCTTGTAAGCCATTTCGAATGTATGCAATATTTGTGCATATACAGACTTGTTAATAAAAAAAAATTTATTAATCATTGATTAAAATTGTTAGATTGGCTTAATAAACTATTTATACCAAATGATAGATGACATAGAATTTTAAATTCTCAAGATCTATAATAATATCGATAAATGTGGAAACCTGTAGAAACATATTCTATATTTATCAACCTTCTATTATATAATTTAAGAAACTGAAAGATCAAAATTGCCTTATTACGTTTTGCAGCTATTCATATATAGATTACAGATTTAAATTATAGCGTGAAAGCATAAAAATAGAAATACATTACTTTTATATAACATTAGAATTATTAAGAAATCTTCTCACCCAACCTTTTTAACTCATACTCATATCACTTATATTCATATAATGCTTGAGAATAACAAAATTAATTTTTTGATCATTTATAATTAAGAGAAGTATTTTTCTTATGATTATTTTAAGTCTTTATTTTATAAAAAGTAGTTTAAAAATCCATGCAGATCATTATTAATCATTTTGCGTCAGATTTTTCGATCTTGGAATGAAAAATGTTATTTCATAAAATGCTGACATTTTCATAATTTTATTAAGGATAATAGTTTTTAAAAATTATACAAAAAAATAATTGAAAAAAAAATATCAGAATAATAAATGAATAAAAATATTGAAGAAAGTGTGAATGGTTTAAATTATAGAAAGTTTATATGTAATACATTTTAATAATGTAAGAAAACATTTAGTATACGAAACTTTAAATTTTATTATTTACAAAAAATGTTGATTAAACTCTATGATTAATTCGTTATGATTATAACGTTGAAATCCATAATAAACCTTATAAAAATGTATTTCAACTATCTGATCGCTTTAATTTTTCCAATTTGTTTTGGCATATTATTTCGTGCATTTAAATACAAGTATATTACAAAGTGTCGTGTCATAAGGCTTAATACAGATAATTATAATTCGACCCTTTGGCAATATTGCTGCTGTTTATTATTGACTAAATATTATTGCTAAATACCTAAAACATATCTTAAATTCTGTCATTATCATAATACATAATATCTTATGTCTCCGTAAATATTTATATTCAACTGGATTATTAAACTGAGGGAATTGCATACATTTAAAAGAAAGATTTTGTTGCTTATACTATAGTCTAAAAAAAAAAAAAAAAAAAAAAAAAACGAGCGAGTGAACAGCTGCGTCTACTTGACGAAATAAATAACCTTAAGCATAATGAGATACATGAAAGAGCTGAAACGAAAAGCACGACAAAGCAACGGGAAATAACATTTTTCTGAGCGCTCTGGACTTGGAATTAAGCGCCGACCGGCTAAGGTGGCTGACTTTTTATTCCATTCTCTTTCTCCCAAAAATAAAAAAATAAAAATCAGACCAGTTGAGCGCCACCACAGCCGCCCGGCACTTTCTCCAATTTTTGTGTCGTCGGGACGGCGGCATTCGTACAGTCGCGGCGTTAATTGCGTTAGACCGCGGGCAAAACCCCCGATCGGCACGCACCGGATGAACTTTCGCACCATTCGAAAGTGGCGCCAACGGTCAGTGAAAGTGACGAAATACGTGCGTGAGTGCGTGCGCATATAGAGTCCACGCGTGCGCAGTAGATCGTCGAGCGGGAGCAACCAAATCGACATCTAACATCCAACGCTCTCCCGACCAAGTTTTCACTTATTTTTATTGCCGCGGAAACGGAAGCTGTCCCCGGAGTTGGATTATTTTTTAACGATGCCGCGGCATTGCTGGGAGCGATTTAATACGCGGAAGTCGCGTCGCGATTCGGCTCAGCTACGGCTATCGCAATTATCATACGGACATAGAAGCGCGTATGTTCGAGTTGGCGTTAAATTAGCAAATTAGAGGATGATTGTGGGTCGAATCGTTTCTAGAAAGATTTACGACCGAGTTCTTCTAGCATGTATGCACAATTTTACAAATTATAAATGGATAAATACATTGTCTACACATGCCTACTTAAGTACTGTCAATGAGCAAGAGGAGTCTTTCAGTGTATGCCTTTCCGCTCACAACTATTCGACATACCCAGTTTTTTTAGATAAAACTTATGAATTTTTAAGCCACAATATTTGACGAATTGTTGGATACATTATTCGTAGAATTTACTTAACTTCAAACTCTTAGAATTGTATGAAAACTGTTAATATGTGACATACACCAACTGATATTTAATCATTAATTTGGGTTACACGTTATATATAGCTATCACATAGTATTGATCCCTTCGCTAACTGTAGCTCGGCCTAGTACTATTAGTCTTTATAGATTGTGCCGCGGCAAAACTTTTTTAATCAAATCCGTGTCAATTCCTTTTTGTTAATAAAAATCCTTCGAGAAAACTGTTACAGATTTTTAGTATTACAATAAAACTTTTACTCTAACGTACAAAAAAAAAGGATAACATGCTATACGTATCCTTATACTAATCGAATTCCCGATAAAAACGATCAACGATAAAAAATTCGTATTTTAGTTCAACATAAAATGCATATATATTGCAAGTGTACCAAATTTTTTACCGAATTTGATGTAATTAATGTTAATAATCGAAATATTTACATGAATATACGATATGGTAATAATATATATACTTCACACCTACAAGTAAATTCAAAACTCAATTTATCGATCAAATAATTTCTTTTATATAAGAAATAATAATAATTAGTATAAGAATTATGATAAATAATCATTTTAATCTAATGTTATTCAAATGTATTTCTATAAATCTCTAAAACACCGATACTCATAGATCAATCAAATTTATAAAAATTTTATTGATAAAGCCATTTTTATAAATTATTGATACATTGTTAAACATCGTGTTTAAGAATCAATAATATACTCAAATCTAACGGGTCTCTAACTTTCCGCTTTCAAATATCTTGATTGAAACCTGTAATTCTCATAAAGTTCTTATAGAACTTTTCTAAAATAGTAAATAATTGAAATTTTAATTAAGTTACATGAAAATACTTCTTACGAGTAAAAAAAAAAGTGAAACCTTAAAAATACTCTTATCAGTAACAGAATAGATATGATAATATTTTATTCAAATCATAGGGCCGCTTATTAAATTCCAAAATAAATTAGCTACCATCGCTAATTTAACGCTTTTATTAAGAAAATATTTTGCTGCAATTCAATTATTTACTTTCACGTAGATTTCTAAGCATTTAGTTAATTGGTAATATCATTCAACGCGGTGAAAATAAAAATACACTAAATAATGATTCTTTTATTATCTTTTATTATCTCATTGGCATTTGATAATGGTTATTCAATAATAAGAATTCATAGCAACTATGATCGTTCAGAATACATTCAACGCAATAATATTGTACATTTTAACATTGGTTAGCGATAATCGATGACTTGTACTGGGTGATGTGAAAAGGTGTGCACCTCATTCGTGGATTGAATTAAAACGAACGATCAATGATTTTCGCGCGTGTGACAAAGTCTGCCGAAATCATGACACATATGGCAGAACTTCCGCAATTTGTACATTCGATCTCCGTGAAACTCGGGAGTGTGACAGCTGCCATGCTCGGGAAAATAAAATGACCTATCAATTTTTTCACTCGACATTCTGGATATCCAAATAATAGAAGTGATAGGAGCCGCTCCTGTTGGTTCGAAGCTTCAGGACGAGAAGAATCTATCTGTCTGTTCAGGAGTTGATGGTTGCAATGGCAAACATTTTCGGAAAATCAATAAATGTATACAAAATGCAGCAAATCAATATTATAAGTTAAGAAACGTATATATAAAACCCAAGACAGAGACATGTTTGTATTACTGATTTGCTTTATTTCTTATGTATGATCGATTAATAGTACACACTCAAGAATATATATTTACTGCCGAGACTTACATGAACTTAAAAAATATATAAAATTATTAAATTATATAAATGTACATAAGGATATTAAATTGAATGAGGCTTACTGAAAAATGTCTTACGAAACATCGTTACACTGAAAGTATCAACAATTCGATGCTTTCTTTACTATCACTATTATTATAAATCCAAAATTAATTATTTTCAACAAAAT